GCACTCTTTGTGCCCTTCCTCTTCACCTTCTCGCAGTGCTTGACCCCCATCAGTCTACGATTCATGAGTTATACCAGATCTTAGCCCGCTATTTTTGGAGCTATAGCGAGGGCTCGCGAGGTCGGCGGCATACCCACTGGGTGAAGTGGGACTCCATCTGTCGCCCCCACTCTGAGGGTGGGCTCGGGATTCGGCGTTTCTCTGATATGGTTACTGCGTTTTCCTACAGGATGTGGTGGCGCCTTAGGGAGGGCAAGTTCCTTTGGGCCCAATACCTCCTGAGGAAATATTGCCCTGGTGGTGCTGCCCACCCATGCAGGGTGACAACCACTTCTCGGGATAGTCGTCAGTGGAGACGACTCACCATTGTTGGCAGGCGTGCTCAGAAGCACATTTTTTGGACCTTGGGATCTGGGGAGATTAGTTTCTGGGATGAGTGGTGGTTCGGCGAGGCCCCTCTCTCGAGTACTAGGCCTGTCACTCACCTGCCTTTCATGCAGGTGAAGGACCTTTGGACGGGAGGGGTTTGGGATAGAGATAAGATGGAGGGCATTCTTGGTGAGGGCGGGGGTTTTAGTAGTCTAGAGATTGACCAGATCCGTCAGATTCCCATTCTAGAGGGAGGTTTGGATGGCATGAGGTGGAGACTTACATCTTCGGGTGCATTCTCTACGTCATCAGCCTGGGGAGATGTGAGGCTGGGCAACCGGCCAAACCGCCTCTTCGGGGCCATATGGACCGACCTTCTCACCCCGGCCATTTCCGTATTCTTGTGGCGCCTACTATTACGGCGCATCCCCATTGACACTGTGATGCAGGCGAGAGGGTTCTCCTTTCCCTCCTGCTGCCATTGTTGTGCTGAGACCGGTACCTTTGAGATCGAGACCTTCACCCACCTTTTCATTGAGAGTGAGACTGTGAGGAGGGTGTGGGAGCACTATGCCAGTTATACTCATATACCCCTACCCACCACAGACAGTTTTTTTAAGCTTCTGAGTTTTTTCTCACTTCGCACACACAGTAGACACGTGGGCTTCCTTATTCCTTGTCTGATCTTTTGGGCCACCTGGACAGAAAGGAAAAATGCGAAGCATAGGGATATTATATTTTCTTGTGCTCACATTATTTTGCAGGTTGACAGACACCTTTCTCTCCTCACTGCCCTGGGTAGACTTACTACGAGAGACTGGACAGGGTGTACACCGCCTCACCGCTTGAGGCCACCACCTACTTTACCTGTCCAGCATTTACGACCCAGGACCGTTGTTTGGCTGAAACCCAAGGCCCCTTGGGTTAAGCTAAACACTGATGGCGCTTTCGACAGACATACCGGAGCTGCTGGAGGAGGGGGCCTGATTAGAGATCATGGTGGGGCACTCATCTCTGCTTTCCATGGGCCACTCCGGGTGTAATACCCCGGTTGATTATGGATTATTTGAGATTAATTATTTTGCATTATTGTTATTATTATTTATACTTAATGTCTAATTTCCTAATTGATTATTGGTGTTATTATTATTATTATTAATATTATTAATATTATTACTATTATTATTATTGTTATGATTATTATTATTAGTGCTAAATGCCTAAATGTTATTAAATGTCTAAATGCATATTATTATTTTTAAATAAATGTTATTTGTG